TACATGGACAGACGGACGGACGGACGGACGGACGGACGGACGGACGGACGGACGGACAGACGGACATGCATAAATCGACTCAGAAAGTGATTCTATGCATATTCTCAAAAGGAACCATGGGTCTAACTCGATTATTTTTGCCTGTTACAAACATATGCACAAAGACATAATACCCTGTACCACAGTGTGGTGAAGGGTATAAAAATTAAACCACTACGTGTTTGGAAATTCATTATGAGAATTATCACACTGTGTGGTGACAACAACAATAATTATTATGAGATCATTAAAATGAAATTAAATTAAAAATAAATGTTAGACAGAACATTTTTGGAAGACAAGACTCTATACACAGGTACTTGACAACATAATGGCGGAATTCTGAAGTTAATTAAATTTAACTAGTTTTGGAAAATTATTTTAAATTTCACACTCAGAATATGGAGAAGATGTTCTAAGCAATTTTGTTTTTTTTTTATTATTCTTTTAATTTTTTTTTTCGGTAACATGTTCTACACAATTCTGAATTTTTTTCTTTTAGAGGGTTATTTGTTGTTATTGTTTTTTTGGGTGTTAAAAGGAAATGTTTCTTTTTGTTTATTTATTTTTTTTTTGGTTTTTCCAAGTTTGATTTTTATTACCCACAAATTAAAATAGTGTGTAATTTAAATTAAATTGCCCATATCCCCCCTCTTGAAAAAAATCCCGCCAATAAATGGCATCACCACTTCAAAACACAATGAAACATAAATTTGCTGTGTAAATTTCATAATTTGCGGTTTTGAATATTTATTTTTTTTTTAATTTCAATAGGCCAAATAAATTGTTTTACAAAGCCCTAAGGCAACATTTCCAAACAGCAATCCCCCACTTCAATAAATGACGAAGCCGTTTAAGTTAAATTTCTTGCAAAAAAAATTAATGACCACCCATAAAAAAAATTATTCAGAAACAACAACAATTTAACATAAAAAAAATAAAACAAAAAAATAAAAAAAAACAAATTTTTCACAATTCCATAGGTCATTTAGATAAAGACCCAGGCTGGCCATGAACCTAAGATGACTCGAATACCAATAATCGAACATTTTCGGCGAAGAACAAAAATGTCCCAACTGACTTGGTAAACGGGCCAACTTAGGTCTGATAACAGGCCAACTAAAAATCGTTTACTTGGTTTTCAACAAAAAATTTTGAACTGCAACCGAAAATCTAAAAATAGAATTTTTGTACTATGACAACAACAACAACACTATAACATGATAATCTTAACAAAAAACACACACAGACGTTTAGATAAAAAATAGGTAATACATAATACCATACCCCACTCAACACCTGTACCCCAACACCCCCCCTTTGCCTTTGGGGTGGAGGGTGTTATCAGTTGATAAGCACTATTTTATCAGCCATAATAGTTTAGCAGTCATGTCGTGTGGGCAACGTCACCAGACCTAGACCCATAACCCCATGAAACAAATTGCTTGGCTTTCAAACATCACAAAATCAAAAAAAAAAAAAAAAAAAAATTCAACCCGGCCTAATTTGTATTCATCAGCCATAGCCAAACTAACTTGGTCTTTAACACGAATTACGTGTTAAACTAATTTTTTCCCAACGATTTAAATTTTTGTTTCCAAAAAAAATCCCACCAAATCATTAATCCCACACCTTGTATCGAATGAGGGAACCTTAATGTTGACCACAAAAATTTGCATGAATCAAACTGCAAGCTTATGCAAGTTTTATTTTTTATTTATTTATATTCTACAAAAGTTTTTTTGTTTAAATGTTGGGCAAAAAAACCGTTAAATTTAATAGGTCGGTCATACCTTTGTAATCTCCGGCGTCGGAGACTATTTAATAAGATTAAGATCTCACACATGATCATGCTCAAAATTAGTTTTGGGGTTTTTTTTTGGAGACAAAGTGTTAAAGGAAAAAAGTAATTTTTTTAACAAAAAAAAAAAATTTAACAGACAAAAAAATAAATGAAGTAAAAAAAACAATTTAGAGTTTTTTAACAATAAAGTATTACAAAAAATATGTTTCATAATAATATAGATTACATCTCACAATAATTCCTAAAAAAATTCTACATTTTTTTGAAAAAAATACCTTCCACCAAAAAATACGTTCCACAACATTTCACTAGAATAAATCACGTCTCATAAGCTTTTCTTCGAAAAAAAAATAAGGTTCCACCACATTTTCTTCGGAAATAATTACGTTCCACACGAGTTTCATTATAAAGTATTACGTCCCACAAAATTTCCCCTACAAAATAATATATCTCACAAAAATTCTTATAAAAAAAATTACAATCCACAAATTAAAAAAAAATAATAATAATTACATTCCACAAAAAAATACGTTCCACAACATTTTTTTTTTTTTTTTTGGAAAAAATTAGTCTGTCTATTTTGCAAAAACAAAATACAAATGGTATCCCAAATAACCCGCCAAACACTACTAAAATTAGCTTCAACTACATTTTCTTTGGAAAATATTAAGTCACACAAACTTTTGGTCGAAAAAAATTAGGTTCCACACGAGTTTCCATAAAATTTCCCTTACAAAATAGTACATCTCACAAAAATTCTTATAAAAAAAATTATATTTCAGATAATTTTTTTTGAAAAAAATATTTTCCACAATATTTTTTTCCAAAAAATTGCGATCCCCAAAATTTTCTTCGACAAAAATAGGTTCCACAATATTTCCTTTAGGAAATATTACACCTCACATAAGTTCATTTAAAAAGCTTTTCATAAGCTTTTCTTCGATAAAAATTACATTCCACAAAATTTTCTTCGAAAAACTAATCTCGACTAGATTTTCATTAAAAATCGTAGGTTATATTATTATTTCATTGTAAAAAATATTAAGATCCACAAATTTTTTTTGATAAAAATTACGTTCCACAAAACATTTTATTAAAAAATTACATTCCTCAAGTTTTTCTATATAAAAGATTACATTTCACACTATTTTCAATATTAAATATGACCCATATGGGTTTTTTTTGGGGGAATATGTTACGTTCCACAAAACTTGCGAAAGGAAGTATTGGCTTCCACAAGAAATTTGAACACACCACAATATTTTCTTTTGCATATAATACGTTCCACAATATTTTTTAGACAAACATTTATTATTCATACAATTTTTATTACAAAAAATTGCGTTCCACAAAATTTTATTGCGTTTCCCAAAATATTCATACAATTTTTATGAGAAAAAAATACGATCCACAAAAATTTCTTCGAAAAAAATTACGTTCCACAAAATTTTCAGGAGAAAATATTAAGTCCCACAAAAATTCCTGTAAATAAAATTACATTCCACGAAATTTTCGTGTAAAAAAATTACGTCCCACAAAATTTTCTTCAACAAATCTTACGTTCCACAAAATATTTTATTAACAAATTTATATTCCACAATTTTTTTCATATGGAAAATATTACGATCCACACTATTTCCTAGACACAATATTATTTTTCATAAATTTTTTATTAAAACATAATTACGATCCACAAAAAATTCTTTGGAAAAATTTACATATCACAAAATTTTTTTTCTGAAAAAATTGGCTTCTACCGAATTTTCTTAAGACAATGTTAGGTCTCATTAAATTTTCTTTCCACAAAATTTTCTTTTAGAAAAAATTACGTTCCACAAAATGTCCAGGAGAAAATATTAGGTCCCACAAAAAGTCCTGTAAACAAATACATTCCACAAAAATTTCTTGGAAAACATTACGTCCCACAATAAATTCTTTGGAAAAAATGACGAATCACAAAATGTTGGCTATAAAATTTTACGTTCCACAATTGTTTATTTAGTAAATATTACGATCCACAATATTTTCTAGACAGAAAATTATTTTTCATACAATTTTTATTGAAAACAATTACGATCCACAAAAATTCTTTAGAAAAAATTACGTTCCACACGATTTTCTTTATAAAAAATTTAGTTTGAAAAAAAATGCCCATGGAAAATTAATATGTTCCAAAAATTCCCATAAAAAATTCCGTTCCAAAAAATTTTCATCGAAAAAAATTACATTCCACAAAATGTTTACTTTAAAATTTTAGATTCCACTAAGTTTTCTTCGGAAGATATTACGATCTAGACAATATTATCTAGACAAAAAATTATTTTTCATAAATTTTTTGTTAGAAAAAATTACGATCCACAAATGTGTCTGTGGAAAAAATTATGTTCCACAATTTTTTTTTTTGAAAATATTATCTTTTATCGTATTTTTTTAAAAAATATTATGTCTCACAAAATTTTCTTCGAAAAAAAATTACGTTCCACAAATTTTACTTAAGAAAATATTATGATCCACATTTTTTTTTCAATGAAATATCTTACGTTGCATAGGTTTTCTATTTTAAAAATATCACATTCCACATTATTTTTGAAAAAAAATATATGTTCCACAAAAATTTCTTCAGAAATTATCACGTTCCACATTTTTTTCTATTTAAAAAAAATTTACCTTCTATGACAAATCTTTCTTTCCACAACTTTTCTGTCAGAAAAAAAATTACGTTCCACTCGATTCTCTTCTTCTCTTACGTTCCAAAAAATGTTCTATAGGAAAAAATTATATACCACACATTTTTTTGAAATTTATTAAAAATACCTCTATAATAAAAAATCAAAATTATATCAGGGTCATTGTTGTCTCAAAAAAAAAAAAAGAAAAAGAAAAAACTGATGACAATACAAAAAGAGTTCCAATCGAAAACAAAAATTTTCCCATACTCATATGTCCGAAGACATTGTTGTTGTTGGTGTTAGTGGTCATGCAATAATTGCAAAATTTTAAACAAAAGAAATAAATCATATTGAAATAAAAAAACAACAACAACAATAAAACAATTCATGATTCCTCCGAAAAACAACAATAAAAACAATTCATGATCCCTCCCGCCCTCTTCTACACAAGATGTTGCATAAAAACGAACAGTTATGATTTCAAAATAATGCCGGAGTTCAGCGACCCCGTTTCTGTGGGCTTCCCCCACACATGGGTGAGTAAAAAAACAAAAATAGTTGACCCAATTTACGCGTTAACCGTTACCATTCACCAAATGAAAGTAAAACTCAAAAAAAAAATTAAAAAAAACGGTACTCCAAAAAATGTTTCAATTGGCCGATCAGCAGCCGTAGGAAAAACAACTCAATTTCACGTGCTTCAGATCTTCAGATCATAAATTCAATTGCAGCACTACTTTTTTTTAATTTTTAAATGAAACAAATTATGGATGTGTGAACGTGTGCGTACGTACGTGTGTGTGTCGATTTCTGTGAATACAATTTTGAAGTGTTGTTTTAATAAAATTTTGAAACAAAACATTTCATTTCATTCCAAAAATTATTATGTAAATTAGAGAAGATTTCGTAATTTTTTTGTTTTCGGATAACAAGTGTATTTCGATGGATGGAGGCCATGGAGGATGGGCTGTAGAGAACTTCGGGTACACTAATTTCTGTAAGAAATTTGAATTAATTTTTCAAGAAAAAAAATACATATATATATATATATAGAGCTATATCTGGACCGATTTTCACGAAACTTAGCACACATCATTCTCGACATAATCCAGTACCCTATGCCAAAATTCGTGGAAATCGAAAGATATGTAGCGACTTTGGAGCACCATTTACCTTAAATCGGACGAGAATATATATAGAAACAATATGTAAATCTGAGCCGATCTTCTCGAAACTTGACACACATCATTCTAGACCCAATTCAGTACGCTGTGCCAAATTTCTCGAAAATCGAAAAATATATAGGGACTTTGGTGCATCATTTTCATTAAATCGGACGAAAATATATATGGGAGCTATGTCTAAATATGAACCGATTTTCCTGAAACTCAGCACTCATCATTCTAGACCTAATTCATTACGCTGTGCCAAATTTCGAGCACATCGAAAGATATATTGAGACTTTGGTGAACCATATACCTTAAATCGGACGAAAATATATATGGGAGCTATATCTAAATCTAAACCGATTTTTACGAAACTTAGCACACATCATTCTAGACCCAATTCATTACGCTGTGCCAAATTTCGTGTAAATCCAGGGGTAGATAGGGTCTTTGGTGCACCATTTACCTTAAATCGGACGAAAATATATATGGGAGCTATATCTAAATCGGAACCGATTTTCACGAAACTTTGCATACATCAGTCTAGGCTGAATTCAGTACGCTGTGCCAAATTTCCTGCAAATCGGATTATTTATAGGAACTTTGATGCACCATTTACCTTAAATCGGACGAAAATATATATGGGAGCTATATTTAAATCTGAACCGATTTTCACGAAACTTAGCACTCACCATTATAGACTCAATTTAGTACGCTGTACCAAATTTCGTTTAAATCGAAGGATATATAGGGACTTCCGTGCACCATTTACATAAAATCGGACGAACATATATATGGGAGCTATATCTAAATCTGAAGCGATTTTCAGGAAACTTAACACACATCATTCTAGACCCAATTCATTACGCTGTGCCCAATTTCGTGTAAATCGAATGATACATAGGGGCTTTGGTGCACCATTGGTGCATAAAATCGGACGAAAATATATATGGGAGCTATATCTAAATCTGAACGAATTTTCACGAAATTTAAGACACATCGTTCTAGACTTAATTCAATACGCTGTGCCAAATTTCGTGTAAATCGAATGATATATAGGGGCTTTGGTGCACCATTTACCTTAAATCGGACGAAAATATATATAGGAGCTATATCTAAATCTCAACCGATTTTCGGGAAACTCGCCACTCATCATTCTATACTCATTTCAGTACGCTATGCCAACTTTCGTGCAAATCGATGGATATATAGGGTCTTTGGTGCACTATTTACCTTAAATCGGACGAAAATATATATGGGAGCTATATCTAAATCTGAACGGATTTTCACGAAATTTAACACACATCGTTCTAGACTTAATTCAGTACGCTGTGCCAAATTTCGTGCAAATCCAGGGATATATAGGGACTTTGGTGCACCATTTACCTTAAATCGGATGAATATATATATGGGAGCTATATCTAAATCTGAGCCGATGTTCTCGAAACCTGACACATATCTTTCTGGACACAATTCAATATACTATGTCAAATTTCGTGCAAATCGAATGATATATAAGGGCTTTGGTGCTCCATTTACATAAAATCGGACGAAGATATACATGAGAGCTATATCAAAATGTGAACCGATTTTCAAGAAACTTAGCACACATAATTCTGGACCTAATTAAGAACTCTGTGCCAAATTTCATGCAAATTGAAAGATATATAGGGACTTTGGTGCACCATTTACCTTAAATCGGACGAAAATATATATGGGAGCTATATCTAAATCTGAACCGATTTTTCCCAATTTCAATAGGATTCGTCCTTAGGCCAAATAAATGAGCTTTGCCAAATTTCATCCAAATCGGATCATAAATGCGACCTGTACTTTGTTTACAATTTAACATCTATAGACGGACAGGCGGACGGACCGACTGACGGACATGACTACATCGACTCAGAAAGTGATTCTATGCATATTCTCAAAAGGAACCATGTGTCTATCTCGTTTCCTTTTGCATGTTACAAACATATGTACCCTGCGCCACAGTGTGGTGAAGGGTATAAAAAAATATCTCAGGCCTGGAGAAGGCTTTTCCTCCTTCCCCTTCCCTACCTCCCTATAATTTTTATCTAAAAAAATAATTAAATATATATATATATATATATATATATATATATATAAATAAAAATATATTTTTATTTTTTTTCTCGAAAAAAATTTCGATCGTATCCCACCCAAGGCCTAATTATTCCCACCTGCTGGTGTAGGGTATTCGAAATTAAAATTTACAATTATTTATCGGCAATATTGAAGTAATATTTTTGTTGTTATTGTTGTTGCCTTTCCACACACTCTCCAAGATGATGATGATGTTCACGATCATGCCTGGTTGTTAACACGTTCTGGAAAGTGTTTGGGTGTTGCTGACACCAAGGTAGCTAGGCCATGGCTCGGCTCGGCTAGGCTTATTGTTTATTTTTTAACACCCCCAATCCACTTGTCGTTGATGTCACAGCCAAAAATTATTATTAACCATTCATAACTTCGTTTTTTTGGGTGAGTGTTCGCTTACGTATGACTACTGGGTGCGTGAATATGTCACTTTAATGGTCACTCAAGTGTAAGATATGACAGACAGCCACTTGAGGGAGTCTGTGCTGGTAAGTCGCAACCGAACAAATACCGAAAAATATAAAAACAATTGTTTCAATTGAAAAATCAAACATTCCGGATTCGAAAAGTCTACCAGCCGGACACAGCCACACATCGGGGATAGCAGAGAGTTGTGGTAGGACCAAGTTTTTTTTTAGTTTTACTTTTTTTAAATTTAAATTTGAGGAAAATGCAAATTTTGGTAAGTTTTTTAAAATTAAAAATATTTAAAATTAAAAAAAAAAATTATTTTTTTTAATTATTTTTTTAAAATATTTTTGTAAATTTTTATTAATTATTAAAAAATAAATATTTTTTCTTTTCAGCTGCGTTTTTTGTTATTGCTGTTGGTGCGCCAATCCTGGGCGGTTTTAAATAACCTACAAGAGGACTTGCAGACCCATCAACCAAATGGTTACTATCCACCTTCGTCGTCGAACCAACCTCAGAATACCTTCGGATCTCATCAATATGGCAGACCCCAAGAAATTCACCAGCCAGGATATCAATATCACCGACCCCAGCCGAATTCTTTGATATCGGAATTAAAAAAATCCCGATCTGGATTAAAATTACAACCCTACGAATTTAATACAGCTCCGCCACTGTATGTGGCACCCAAGATTAGACCACGGCCTCAAATTGCAACTCCAACACAAACACAACAAGTCACAACTCCCAACTTTCAACAACAGCCAACAAATGTTTTACAAAATAATCCCTCCCAACTAAGGCAAGAGCCTCAGGGGTCTCTTCAGAATGCAGCAGGATCTCACACTCCTTCACAGCAACCACAATTTTCTCAACAACCCCTGGGAGGACAACAACAACAAGCTACTGTGGGAGTTTCATATAACCAACCTCAAGCTTCTTCTCCTGGAAATTTTGCCACAACTTCGGCTCAAGCAACCTCTTCCGCAACCTATAACCATCAAAGACCTTCCTACGCCGAATCAAGTTCTTTTAATAACCCAGGAATTGCTTTATATCAAGGAAATAATCTGCCAAATAATCTAGAAGTCTCAAATGCTCTACAAAGACCTTCAAATCCAGCTCAGAATCCCTCAAATCCAGTTCAGGTTCCAACAAATGGTTATCAATACCATCAGACCTCTTCAAGGCCGCAGGAAACAGTCCCCAATTCCCAAAATCCAAATTCTCAAAATCCTTCGTTTTCATCACAGGGTCCATCAAATGGCTATCAATATCCTCAGGGAAATTTCCAGCAATCTTTCAACGACAGAGGCAATCAGAAGCCTGAACCTCAATATCAACCCTCTTCTCCAGGAACCAACGAAGTAAAACCCAACGAACATCAACAGGGTTACCCTAAAGGACCCAATTCGAATTTCCAAGGCTATGGAAATCAAAAACCTTCTCAGGAAACCAATTTCCTACAACACAGACCCGGAGCTCAATTCAATCAAGGACTTCAAACCTCAAAATCCGAAACAGAGCAACAAATTTATCACAGACCTGAACAAGGAAATACTCAAGGAAACGGAGAAAGAATTCAAGGAGCCAATCAGAATCCTCAGTCAACTATCAATCCGGAAAATGATATCCGACCTGCTCAGGGAAATTCTCTACCAAACAGTGACAATTTGAGGGTCCAAGAAACCATGCAGACTTCTCAGGCTTCCAACAACGAAGTTGGACAACAAAATTATCCCAGCAGGGTCCCTGAAGCCATTTCGAATTCCCATGCTTTCAGTTCGGGAAACACCCAAACAAATTACCCTCGACCTGGTCAAGGAAATGATTTCACTTCGAGGGATCCAGAAGGCAATCAAAGACCTGTTAATTCTCAACCAGAGGCTGAGCAACAAAATTACGACAATCGTGGTCAAGGTTATGCCTACCGAACTCCAGAAAATTCAGGAGTTACTGGAGCTTCTTCCCGACCAGAAACCGGGCAGCAAAATTACCCAAGACCTGCTTTGCCTTCCAGAGAAAATCCAAAAGTTTCTCTAAATTCGGAGCAACAAAATTATCCCAGACCTGGTCAAGGTTATGTTTACTCAACCACAGAAAATGGCGCCCAATCAAACGCTCTTCCTTCCAAACAAAACATGGACCAACAAAACAACTTCCAAGCTGTTCAGGGTGGACAAGCAGAAGCTAATCAGAGACCTATTGGAATTTCAGGAGCTCTAGGTCAACCAGAAGCCATACCAAATCCGCAGCCTTCATATCAGAGACCTGAGAATCCCACGACAGCTCTAAATAATGGAAATTCGGTTCTAAATGGAAACTCCTCGCCTGGTCAAAATTCTCAAGGATATTCGTATCAATCTCAGCCTCAACCTGCAGGTCCCTTGGAAACTTCAAATAATGGATATCCCAGACAAAATCCTCCACAGAATCCAGGATACTCCTATCAATCTCAGGAGGCTTTAAGGCAGAATGGCGAACAAAATGGAAAATCGGAAGCCACCCAAGAGTCTGCATATCCACAAAATGTTCGACCATTAGCACAGCAAGGCACTCTTCCTTCAAGACAAGAATCTTCTCCACAGGGTAACCAAAGGCCTCAATCGAACCCTGGATATTCGTATCAGCCACAACAGAATCTGAGACCAAATGTGGAACAAAATGGTATGGGGTCTAATTTCCCACAAAATAGGCAACCTGAAGCCCAGCAAACCCCTCTCCCATCCAGGCAAGAATCTGAGCAGCAGAGACCTCAATCGAATCAAGGATATTCCTATCAGTACCAACAGAATCTAAGACCGAATATGGGTCAAAATGGAAACCCCATCAAAGAACCTGAATCCCCACAAAATAGACAAACAGAAGCCAATCAGAATTCTCTTCAATCAGGACCAGGTTTCGAGCATCAAATCTCCGAAGGACCTGGTCAACAAAATCCTGGCGAAAATCTTCACCAAAATAGTGGCTACCCTCAGGCAATGAGACCGAATCCCGAAGTGACTTATCAACCTCAAGTTCCACAAGTAAATCAAAATTTTGGACAACCCGTTAGGGATTTGGCTGTACAGCCTGGTTCTCAAGTCTCTCAGGAAGACTCAGCTGGAACTCAAGCGCCAGTTGGCTCCTCCGGCTTCAATAATGGTATCCAAATCCCATCAAAGCCCATGGAAGTTCCCATACCCGCACGTCAATATCTGCCACCATTTTCGAACCAAGAATCCCAAACTCCCAGCTCTGATCTGACAACAACTGTAGCAAAAAATCAAGGCTTAACTTCATCTCTGGCTCCCCAAACCTCACGATTTCAAATAAGGAATATCAAAATCTCAGCGCCGATGTATCTACAAGTTCTGCTTCCTCATCCTCCTCTTCTTTGGCCTCCCAATACCAACCACAAAATAATGGACCCACTTCTCAGCAGGCTAACCCTCAGCAAAGTAATCCACCTCAGGCCCTAGCCACAACTACCGCATCTCCTCTAACATCGAATACCATTTCCAGTTCTCCCGCTACCACCTTTCAGAACTTTCCCTCCCCCAGCCAAAATGAAAATGCATCCACCCCACCGCCCACCTACAATACCCAACCCTGGAATCCCATTAAAATATCTACAAATCGTGTACCGAAACAACAATCGCTCAACCTTCCACAAGGTTATCGTTATAGTACTCCCTCCATGAAGCAGACTGCCGAACATGCGCCCACCTTTAATGGTGTGGTATACAATGAACTGGGAATGGGTATGAATGCCTCCTCCTCCAATCTGATACCTGATGAAATGCCAAAGGTGGAAAATGCGACACAAGAAGTGATGATGATGGGTAAGACGGAAATTGAAACTCAGCAGGGTTATGTCTACGGCAGGCCAGAGGTGGGTTTAAAGGAGCCTCAGGGGGTGACTCTACTGAGACCGGTGGACTCTATGCCAGAAGAGTATGTTTACTATAAGAAACAACAGCAAAAGCAGGAAGGGGGAAATGGAACCCAGAATTCTTATCCAAACCAAGAAGGCTCCGGAACCTCCAGCCAAGGTAATGAAGAGAACATCAGACCCCTCAAAGAGATGGCCAACAAACCGAATCAGGATGTTATGAGACCCTCAAATGGAGGTTATTCCTATCCCCAACTAGCAACTGAGTCCGTCGGAAATTCTGCGGAAAATTCCAGGCCTCTTCAGGATGCTCAGCTTCCTTCAGGAACGCAAAATTTCCCACATATGGGACAACCTGATCTCAATAGGCCTTTGGAATCGCTGCAAAATGAAAACTCGCAGTTGAGCGCCATTCGTCCCATGGGTGGTGAATTGAGACCTGAGGATTCAAATAAGGAGCAGAACAGACCTGTGGAAGTGATGCAAGATGGAAATCTCCATTTGGGCGCCATTCAACCCATGGAAGCTTCTCAGAATACAAACAATGGATATTCGCAAAATTCACAAGTTCCGGAGGCAAATGGTCAAAATGACTATTTGAACCAACAGTATCCATATAAACAGGTATCGGCCCTCAACCAAGTGAATCGGATTCCTCAGGGTGGTCAGCCAACGGAAAATTTGCCCTCAAGGAATCAATACCTCAATCCGCAGGGTGAAGGTCCCCAACCTGAAAATTCTCCAGCTTATCAACAACACATGCAGCAAATCTCCAATGAGAACCGAATGCCATTTAATGGTCAGTTTCCATCGAATCACACCCAGGAGGCCATCAGGGAGCAAAGTTCTCAACCTCCCCAAGGAAATCAAGGCTTTGTAATGGGTCCCTATGCAAACCAGGGTGAACAAACTCAATTTCAACCATCCAATCGTCCGGAAATGTCACAGAATCCCGTAGGGCAATCTCACCTCCAACCATCCCCTGCCATCGAAATGAATCAAGGGGGCCATACCCAGGTTCCCGTTCAACAAACGATTCAAGTTACCGAAACTCAGGCCATGATTCCATTATTCAGACCCTCACCCCAGTTCCAAAGTAATGGCTACAATTATGGTCAAACCTCAGGAAATAATCCACAAATGGTCCCTCAAAATCAAGTCCAAGTTCTGCAACAAAATCAAGCTGCCAGCACAAGTTTTCAACCCTCCTCTCCGAACTTCATGGGAATATCCAGGCCCCAAGAAAATTCTCCACAAAATATGCAACCTGCAATGATGGATTATCCCGCACAAAAACCCGCACAATTTGTGGGCTATTCTAACCAGGTTCCGCAACAACAGTTACAGGTACCCTCACAAAATTCGATGATTTTCCCACAAAATCCCCAAGAAATTGTCACACTTCAAACCACAACACCCAATTCGCTGATGGCCTTCTTTAGCACACCCAATCCCATCGAAAATCAAGTGATCTCCTCCTCAAATCCGCCGCGGGATGTTAATTCCCGCCCCATGACCTTTGAGGAAACAAAAAGCTATATGCAAATGCCATCACATTCTTTTGAATTGCCCTCCTCTTACATTATGGTGCCAAGTAATGCGGAACAGGCCTTGATGCCTCAGCCCAGGACAGCCAATTCTGCAGGTTCTACAGTATCAGAATCAACTGAGGAAAATACCCAAAATCCCCAGGTGACAGAAGAGCCTGTGCGACAACCCCATTTGGTGTATGGCTTGCCAGACCAAGCAGAACCCACAACCGTAACCCCTGAACCATTAGCTGAACAACTGTCCCCAGTAAAACCCATGGAAAACGAGGGAAATCCACAAAATCCCATGGCATTCCTGGAAAATCCCATTGTCTACAATACTCCCGAGCAGCCCGTAACTTCGGTAACTCCCGAAACACTTCAGGAGCAAACTCCGATTACGACAGAAATTTCTGTTCCTACTGAGGTAACTTCTGCCAATTCATTGGTATTTTTGGAAAACCCCATCGAAACTCAACAGCCAATACGGCAACCCCATCTCATTTATGGTTCTCCGGTCTATGAAGCCACCACTATTAACTTGCCATCACCCATGTATACTCGTTTTTATAAGAAGTAAGCGGATTCGAATTTCGAATAAGATTTAAGATTTCATTCAGATCATTTTTTATTGTTGTATTTATTCAGAACATATATTTTAAAATTTTTATTAATAAATTATAAATAAAAAAAAATAATTAATAAAAATTTTGAAAATTTTTATAAATTATATTTTATTCAGCAAAGTTTTTTAAGTGTTAACATGAATAAGCATGTTTTTTTGGTAATAAATATTCAATTCAGCTACATTTTTTCATAGGAAAACTCAATTCAGCGAGGGTTTTTTAAGAAAAATTCTATTCAGCTAAGTTTTTTCAGATTCAGCTCAATTCAGCTACGTTTTCTCATAGAAAAGTTCTATTCAGCTAAGTTTTTTCATAGAAAACGTGAATTCAGCTACGTTCTCCCATAGAAAAATTGAATTAAGCTACATTTTTCACCGGAAAACTCAATTCAGCAAAAGTTTTTCATTGAAAAAACTTATTCAGCTAAGGTTTTTCCTAGAAAAAAACAATTCTGCAACGTTTTCTCATAGAAAATTTCAATTTAGCTACGTTTTTTAACAGAAAAACAATTTGTTTTCATGGAAAAACTTAATTCAGCAAAGTTTCTTCATAGAAAAATTCAATTCAGCAAAGGTTTTTCATGGAAAAACTCAACTCAGTAAAAAATTTCTTTAGAAAAGTTAAATTCTGCAGGGTTTTTTCAACATAAAAAGGCAATTCAGCAACATTGTTTATAGAAGAACTTAATTCAGCAACGTTTTGCCATAGAAAACTTAAAAACTCAATAAAGTTTTTCTATATTAAAATGCAATTCAGCTAAGGAAAACTAAATTCAGCAACGATTTTCTTTAGAAATATTCAACTTACACATTTTTTCTGAAGGAAAACTTAAATTCGGCCAGGCTTTTTTTTAGAAAATCATTATTCAGCAACGTTTTTCTGTGTTTAAATTCAATTCAGCTAAGTTTTTTAATGGAAAATCTAAATTCAGCAAGGAATTTCCTTACAAAATCGTAATTCAGCTACGTTTGTCATACGAAAACTCACTTCAGCAACGTTTTCTCATGGAAAAACTCAATTCAGCAACGTTTAACCACAGAAAACATGAATACAGCAAGATTTTTCTTTAGATAATCTTGACTCAGAAAAGTTTTTCTATATTAAAATACAATACAACGAATCTTTTCAATAGAAAAACTAAATTCTGCAAAGATTTTCTTTATAAAAAAAATAAATTCATGAAGTTTTTTATTGAAAACTCAATTCAGCTAAGTGTTTTCAAAGAAAAAATCAACTCAGCAAAATTTTTTCAAAGAGAAACTAAATTCAGCTAGGTCTTTTTTAAGAAAAATTTTTTTCAGCGAAGTTTTTCTTAAGAATAATTTAATTCAGTAAAGTTTTTCTTAGGAAAAACCTAATTCAGCAAAGTTTTTCGTAATGAAATCTTAATTCAGCAATAATTTTCTATATTAACATGGAATTCAGCTTTGTCTTTTCATAGAAAAACTATATTCAGCAAAGATTTTCAGTAGAAAACATCAATTTTGCTACGTTTTTTCATATAAAATATATGTTCAGTAACGATTTTCTTTACACAATTCAATTCAGCAAAGTTTTTCTTATGGAAAACTTAATTCATCAAAGTTTATCTTATGGAAAACTTAATTCAGCAAAGCATTTCTTAAGAAAAACTTTATTCAACAATGATTTTCTATATTAACATGCAATTCAGCAATGTCTTTTCATAGAAAAACTAAATTCGGCTAAGTTTTTATTAAAGAAAATTTAATTCAGCAAAGTTTTTCTTAAGTAAAACCTAATTCAGAAATTATTTTCTATATTAACATGCAGTCTGCTAAGTCTTTTCGTAGAAAAACTAAATTCAGCAATTAATTTATTATAAAAAACTCAATTTAACTAATATTTTCCGAAGAAAGCCTCAATTCAGCCACAATTTTTTTATATAAAATGTCAATTCAGCAAAGTTTTTCTTTAGAAAAAACTCAATTCAGCTAAGTTTTATCATAGAAAAACTATGTTTTTCTTAATGCAAATTTAATTCAGCAAGGGGTTTCTTATAGAAAACTCAATTAAACAAGGTTTTTCTATAGAAAATTATAATTCAGCTAAGTTTTACCTTAGAGAATTTAAATGTACCTACTTTTTATTGAAAATTAATTATGTTTTATGTTCTTCATAAAAAAATTTCAATTCAGCTAAGTTTTTTCATAGAAAATTCCAATTCAGCAAAGATTTTTCTTTGGAATAATTCAATTCATTCATGCACCTATTTCCATTAGTCTTTCACCCAAAATCATTTTCAATTGAGACATTTAGCTACTTTCCCCTAATAACATCTCTTAAACTGCCTCTCGCTCCCCTCTACCTTTCTCTCTCCCTTTTAATTCCCCTCTCATTTGTCAACAGACAATTTTCAATATTTGTTCCGCTTTGTAGCAGTTAATTGAAAATCAATATGGATTTATTATTTGGTAGCGTTGAGATGATGATGACGATAATTACCTATGCCACCAGAAGCAGCAGCAAGGAAGTGAAGGTTGAGATCCAGGTTTGAGATCCATCAAAGGAAATTATGGCAGCGGCAAAATGTGCTCATGATGACACAAATACCTCTTAGGACTGTTGAGGCTTGGATCAAAGATGGAAAATATGGCCGCGATCAAATGTGTTAATGATGAGACAAATACCTCTCAGGACCATAGGCCTCAACAACCTATTAATTTTTTTAAATATTTCAAATTAAAAAAATAAAACTTCAATTTGAGGTTATGTCTGCTCCCAATTACCACATCCAATTGGAAAAATAATCCAATGAGAAAATTAAATGTTAACACAATTTGTGAGATGTTTTTTCGTTTAATTTTGATGTTCCGACTTCGTTAACCTATAAAATCTAATTTCAAAATCGAAAAATTCAATCAAAAAATAAATGTTTAGTTGTCTTTTTCTAAATTGCCTACAAAACGTGATTCATTCCCTTTACAGAAGCAACAACAACAAGAAGGAGAAATAAAAACTGGGCAACAATGAAAGCGAATGGTTGTTGGGCAGATTAGTGGTGGTGTTGTTGCTGGTGTTGTTGTTAGTAGATATTGGGCGTTTATGCTGTGATGTAATACGAATCTGAAACGATCTATAAAATTGTTTTTATTTTGATATCGTTTTCAGTGAGGGAAGAAGAAGAAGAAAAAATAATAAAAAATAACACAAGCCTACTTCCCACAATTTACAAGCCCGACACACGCACACACATACACACTATGGGTGTGTGTGTGTGTGTGAGTTTGCAAGCCATGATACTATTTTAGGTCTGAAGAGGTTTGTCATATCAATTTCAATTCCGCCGGAAATTATGCAGGGATGCTCATATTACCCTGCAGCGCATTATAGGAAGTCTCATCTTCTTCGTCTTCTTCTTCCGGAAAATTTTTGGTTTTTCCTATAAAAGCTTTGGGAGGCGCAGAAAATGCATCAGTTTTTCCATAACCTTCAGACACAGCCATTTGCCGTCCAGCAATTAAAAAGAAAATGCATTTTTCATTTTTGGAATTTTTCTCATTATTAATTTGTATTGTTACGGGCTCCGGGGCCCTCAAGCTACCCTGCAATCATGGGAAACGAGAATTGAAATTTGCCAACTATCCAGGATATCAAACAAATGGCCTAACTGGCCAGCAAACGGATTATTATAACTTCTATCAACAGCAGCAGCAGCAACAACAACAGCAAAGGAATACCTTGGACGATGCCGGTTATACCCGGCAAAATGATGAGCAACCTTCGGCAGAGCCACAAAATTCTCTACAAAATCCTCTACCCATTAGTGGCAACAACAACAGCACTCACATTCACAATTTATTGGAATTTAACAATCCACCCGGACAAATGTTCCACCTAATCTACATGCCCCTGAATGCCAACAAACCTCAAGGCATGACCCAGGCCCTTTCAAACAATGGAGTTACCACAAGGCAAAATACCCCCAATTTATTCAACACAGGGCCTCAACAATTTCCCACCAATCAGGCATCCGCTCAAAATCAACAACAACAACAACTGCAAACCGCCTCCACCACCGCCACCACCACAATGAATCCTTTGACAAAGCTCCTCTACAACTACAATCAAATATATGCAGCAGGAAATCCCGGCAACTTCGATTATGGTCCACACTATAAGGCACCCGGTTATCCCATGCTGCCGCTAAGGTATCCCACAGCCAATGTTGCAGCAGCAGCACAAACACAATCCTATCCTCTAAAGGCCACAAAAATGGAGGCCCCATTTATACCATCACAATTTTTGGGTTACAGCTCGCCCTTAGCCCAGACACAAACCACGAAACCAGGTTTACAGCTGCAGCAACCCCAAACAGTTACGGCAAGGCCTTTAACACAAAATAATAATTACAATAATAATAACAACAATAACAATATTTTACCGCAAAGGGCCCTGCTAGCATCGAATCTGATTAAGCCTGTTCACGAACCAGCCCAAAGTGGACCGTCATCATATGCCAATGCGGCCAATAATTTGCTATATATGCCACCCGGTAATAATTATTATGATTTTTATAAAAATATGCCAAGATTTTGAGGTTATGATCACTAATTTTAAATATTTTTATATATATATATTTTTTAATTTTTTTTTTAATTTTTGTTATTATTTATTTAATTAATTTAAAAAATATTTTTAATTATTAAATTTTGTATTTTTTAAATAGAATATTTTAAGGTCAACGTTGACAGCACAAAATTGAATTTAATAAAGAAGAAGAGTCACAGAATTGACTTTCAGTTGATTTTTTTCTGCCCTTCACCTCACTGTGGTGTGGCAGGGTATTATGTCTTTGCGCATATGTTTGTAACAGGCAAATGGAATCGAGATAGACCCATGATTCCTTTTGAGAATATCCATAGAATCACTTTCTGAGTCGATATATGCATGTTCGCCTGTCCGTCCATGTATTTTTGTGAAAAAAAATACAAGT